CCCTCACCTCCCTCACCTCAGACCCTCCTACACCTCCTCCCTCACCTCGGACCCTCTCCTACACCTCCTCCCCTCCCCTCAGACCCTCTCCCTACCCCCCTCCCCTCCTCAGCCCTCTCCTACACCCCCTCCCTCACCTCGGACCCCTCTCCTACCCCCTCCCTCCTCGGACCTCTACCACCCCTCCCTCACCTCGGACCCTCTCCTACACCCCCGTCCTAATCTCGGACCCTCTCTACACCACCACAACTATCCTAGATGACTGAGGCACCAGCCACCCACCACCAGATGACTGAGGCACAGCCACCACCACCAGATGACTGAGGCACCTGCCACCACCACCACCAGATGACTGAGGCACCACAGCCACCACCACCACCAGATGACTGAGGCACCAGCCACCACCACCACCAGATGGACTGAGGGCACCAGCCACCACCACCACCAGATGACTGAGGCACCACCACCACACACAGATGACTAGAGCACCAACCACTACCACCAGATGACTGGAGGCACCAGCCACCACCACCACCAGATGACTGAGGCACTACCACCACCAGTTGACCACCCGACCACAGATGACTGAGGCACCACCACCACCTACAGCTGAGGCACCACCACCACCCTACGACTGAGGCACCACACCACCACCAGATGACAAGAGGCTACATCACCCAACACCACCAATGTGACAGGAGGCTACAGTAGCACCAGCTCTGTAGACCACTGTAGCTCCAGCTCTGCAGACCACATACCACAGTAGCACCAGCTCTGCAGACCACAGTAGCTTAGCACAAGCTCTGTAGACCACATACTACAGTAGCTCCAGCTCTGTAGATCACATACTACAGTAGCTCCAGCTCTGTAGATCACATACTACAGTAGCTCCAGCTCTGTAGACCACATACTACAGTAGCTCCAGCTCTGTAGACCACATACTACAGTAGCTCCAGCTCTGTAGACCACATACTACAGTAGCTCCAGCTCTGTAGATCACATACTACAGTAGCTCCAGCTCTGAAGATCACATACTACAGTAGCTCCAGCTCTGTAGACCACATACTACAGTAGCTCCAGCTCTGTAGACCACATACTACAGTAGCTCCAGCTCTGTAGATCACATACTACAGTAGCTCCAGCTCTGTAGACCACATACTACAGTAGCTCCAGCTCTGTAGATCACATACTACAGTAGCTCCAGCTCTGTAGATCACATACTACAGTAGCTACTTCAGTAGCTCCAGCTCTGTTCTATCAGACCACATACTTCAGTAGCTCCAGCTCTGTAGACCACATACTTCAGTAGCTCCAGCTCTGTAGACCACATACTACAGTAGCACCAGCTCTGTAGACCACATACTACAGTAGCTTCGTTTTTTGTTAAAAGAAAAAGTTTTTCTATATATTAAAATTTCAGTGAATAAACTTTAGATTAATCACCCTTATACAACCTGACCCCAGACATCTTGTGTCACCCTCTTAGGTCTATTACATTATGTACTATATAATAATCTTGTATGTGTAGTTCACACCCTAATGTGTACTTTATTGTATTACAAATATTGTTTCTCTTGTTTTATGGTGTAATGTATTAATAAAGCCTCCAAGTGCTCAACTCTAGTATCCATGATGTATTTTTCCTGAACATGTGATAAATTCCCAATAAAGATCAATAAACTGTTGAAATTGTCCCTGTTTAACCTTATTGAGACGTCATGTGTAAATTAATGGACTGACAGCATAAAATAATGACATTGTTAATAAATAATAAAAATACGATCGTTTTCAATATTATAATTCTCCTAAAAGCTGTTAATAAATAAAGCACATTATATACACAATAAAACTCTTGTTAAAGCGGCTGATAAGGGCTAAGAATACACACATAACCAGAAATAATACCAATAGGAGTATATGACCACCATGAACAGTAAGCAGTACCCTTAACCTCTGAGCTAATGGTTCATCTCTGTATCACCAACCAACCCAACTACTTCACTACTGTTGGCGGCAGTGAAGGACAGACCGAGACTCTCAACATATAAACAAGTTGAATAGAAAAATTATCTATGAGGTCAATATTTAATATATTGGCTGCGACTGAACACTGATTAAATATAATAGTTACCCCTGCTCCGTTTTGTGTGATTAAATATAATAGTTACCCCTCCATTTTGTGATTAAATATAATAGTTACCCCTCCATTTTGTGATTAAATATAATAGTTACCCCTCCATTTTGTGATTAAATATAATAGTTACCCCTCCATTTTGTGATTAAATATAATAGTTACTCCTCCTCCGTTTTCTATGATTAAATATCTGCTCCGTTTTCTGTGATTAAATATAATAGTTACTCCAAAAACTGCCGCTCACAGAGCCGTTTTGCTTTGTTTTTGCTTTTCTTTTCCTTCTGGGACACTGTTTTCGTTGTATTATTCCCTTAAAGTTAATGAAAAGTGAAATCGGGCCACAAATTTGACGTTTTTACGTATTTTAACGTATATACAAGTTCGAAGCTTCAAATGCTTCAATGAAGCAAAAAAATGATACAATGAAGCTTCGTGACGTCACTGTGAACCTTGACATATAAGGCCTCGACTAACTCGCCTTCGTCTCTTTCCTCACCGACCACTCGCCACTCACTGACTGCAGCTGACAGGCAGGTAAGCGCCGCTCCTCTAGTCTCCTTTATATACGTGTAAATTTTTTGCCCGACTGCCTACAGTCAAAATGGCCAAGAGAAATGGTTATTCTTTTGGGTAGTGTTTAATATACTTAATTATGGCGTAATAAATGCTGATTTAAGTCCAAAACTTGCCGGCCGGTTGTTGCAGTTCATAGGGTCGTATCCCCAAGTTTCACTGGGCTCTAAGGCCCATGGTACCTACTGTGCAGCTTAAACAAATACATTAGTATTATATTAAGTGGCTCTCTAACGTCTAACCAGTAA